GATGAAGTATGGCACATAAAATGTGACAGCATGTAATCACATGCATGAAGTATTATTATGTATGATAACAGCAGATCCAGCCAGGGAAACAGGATAATCCAGTTCTTTTTCACCAGACATGCAGAGGCTCTGATAAACCCAGTTGTGAAATATGTTTTCTTTGGCTGCCAAGCCCTCCATCCAGCTCCACAATATATTGTTTACTTAATTCTTGTGTGATACACTGATATTGTAGTGTCACATGATCTGTCATGGAAATTTATGGGAGGCGTTGGTGTCTGTGAGAAGCATGCTGTGAAATACCCTGAGCTGAGAACCTCCCGGAAGCCTGCTGGCTGGGCGTGTAGAAACTCAGTATAATACTGACCTGCTGTCATCATCACTGGGTATGGAGCCTTAGGTTCACGTAAACAGACACACTGATGTTCATTTCACAGGCTTTACAAGGTCCATGGTGACAGGTGAGTCCACTGATTGGAGTAGAGGGAGATCTGAAGCTGATATCGCTCTTGGGAAGCATATTTTTTTTTGGGTGATGTGTGGCTCAGCAGGTTAGGATGCTGTGCTTGTGGTTGTAAGGTTGTTGGTTCAAATCCCAGTGTTGATTTTACTGACTAGCATAAGACCCTAACACCCAATCCACCTAGGGACTGTCTGACTCTGCTTAATGAGAATGTATGTAACCTGCTAAATTAATGCAATGTTTAGCTATGTCAAATTAATTTTGGCAGTCCATGGTGTAGCCCACTTTTAGTTTATTAAAGTATATATTTTAAGTGTATTTATTTAGTAATAATAGTTATTTGTATTTTTATACCTGAAATTGTTACAAACAGCACAGTAGTGATATGACTACATGTAGATTGCACTAATAAAAATTTGCAAAACATACTTAGAGATAGTTTTTTCTCTTAGTCACTCAAAATGAACAAATATTGTTTTGAATGCCAAAATTAAAGAAAAAATACATTTTACATATAAGCTGGACTTTCCTCAATACATGTCAGTTTAAGCCAGGTATACTTAAGTCAGACTTTGTTTAGTATATATCTCTGTTAAGTACATAAGAAGTTTACTGAGGGTATACTTACTAATTTTTTACTTTAGAAAAATTATACTTATCGTACACTTAAATATAAGTAACATGCATAATCTGGAGTTAATTGTTCTGACAATACTGTAATTTAACTAATTAATATGTAGATAGATATATGCTTAAAGGATAGCACTGTAGCCTCAGCGCTAGCCAGAAACAACGGCTAAGATCAGTGTGATTTCTCAGGTTAGCGTTAGTGCTAAGCAGCTAAGAGTGATGTGCTTTCTCAGGCTAGTCTCAGCACTAGCCAGAGACAGCAGGTAAGACCAGTGTGCTTATCATGCTAGCTACAGTACTAACCATAGACAGCAGCTAAGATCAGTGTGATTTCTCAGGTTAGCCTTAGTGCTAAGCAGCTAAGAGTGATATGTTTTGTCAGGCTATCCACAGCGCTAGCCAGAGACAGCAGCTAATAGCAGGGTGATTTCTCAGGCTAACCTTGGCAGTAGCCAGAGGAGAGCTAAGTGCTTATCTCAGCTCCTGGAACGCAGAAAACGTCCATCTCTAATCCCTGCATCTGTTCACGGTGCTTGTTCCCTTTCAGAATAAGAGACTGATTAAGCAACAGCTCACAGCCGAAAGATTTAACAGGGATAAAGACTTTCTTTCCACTGCGATTAGCGTGAGCTGAAACACGCAGCAAATTCCTCGCCAACCGGATTTTTTTTTTGCGTGATTATGTCTTCCAACGATATTCTGTAGTAGTTGGAGGAAAGAGTCTCGACAGTTGTTTCTTTTTGTGTTGCTGGTTACAGTTTCTGGATGTTGAAAGGTGGCTAGATTCAAAGGGAAAAGGGGAAGGGTTCGACCCCGGGCTGCTTATTGTATATATTATGATAGCAGGGAGGCTTGTCTAGTCCTCCTAATGTGGTGAAGAATGGAAATGGAGGACATACACTATATGGCCAAAAGTATGTGGACACCCTTATTAATTGGAGGAACTGCTTAATTAAGCCAAACCCATTGCTGACACGTGTATAACTAAGCACACAGTTAAGTTATATGCTATAAGGTGGTTTTACAGAAGAGGTCAGTGACCTTCCACTTGGCCCCGTCATAGGACACCAAACTTCCAACAAATCACTTTGCCACATTTCTGCCCCGCTAGAGCTACCCTGGTCAAGTGCAAGTAAAGTGATTGTGAAGGTCAAAATGTCAGTGAGTGAGTTCAGCTGTGAAGTGGGCGGCCACACGAGCTCACAGAATGGGACCTGATCACCCAACATCCAACCTGAATGGCAGCAAATCCCACTCGCTATGTTCAATTATCTAATGGAAAGCCTTCCTAGAAGAGTAGAGGTCACTACAGCAACACAGCGTGGACCAGCTTCATATTAATACCCTTAATTTCAGAATGAAACATTGGACAACCTGGTGTCCACATAGCTTTAGCCATATAGCGTACAAAGGTATTAGCTGTAGGAAGAAGGACCAGATCAGAGGTCCATGTATATCTCATCATCAAAAACGTATAAATGTGCCATTCAGTGAATATGGGCGGCAGCCCTAGTGTCACTATGCTGATGGTCATCTATGGCTCCATGAACTGATCTTGTACCTGGTCTGTAAGTCTTTGGAAACAGTGCTGTTTATGACACTCACTGCGCATGTTCTGGGGACATTTCAACATTGTATTGCGTACATCTAAACTGTGACAAACATTTCGTTATATTCTGTTGTGTTCCCTAATTGTACCGTCACACCTATCGGCCCATGGCTTTTAGTGGCTCAGCACTGATTCACAGGTAGATGTGTGTAATCCCTGCCATGGACTACGTGCACAAAAACATCAAGAAGTCCTGAAATTGAAAGGTAACATTTAGAAAATAATTCATATATAGACCCTGAAAAAGTTGCTTAGACAAACAATGTATTTCCACCCAACTGCGTTGAAATCTCAAGGGCAGGCAAATTACTTGATGGCCCCATGCTGAAAACCCCCTGCTCTAGTGAAAAAAATGTGAGCAATCCATGGTACTGTATGGTTTAGTAACTTAGAAATCTGCACATACTTTGAAAATAAATGGTCGTGTCAGGATGTGCATGTGGGTGGGATTGGAAACCATCTAGGAAGACCACACCAGGTGCCAGTGGGTGCCATGTTTTGACCCAGTCAGGGGTGTATGGGATCCATGCCTCCTCCTGCTTGGATTCCACCATGCCATCCTTCCCTGGTTACCTTAGCGACTTCTCTCATGACTGCATGGGGCTGGGACTTGCTGGGTAGTGGTGGGATGAGGTGGCAGAGTGGTCTACCCCAACCAGGCTCCAGATGCCTGCACTCTATGAGACCACCAGGTCTGTGGAGTAGAACGGGAAGGGAACCAACTGTGAGGCGTGTGTGGAGCAGATGGTGAGCTTCTAGGGCAACAATGCAGATGAGGATGCTGGTCCATGCTTCCATTCCATCCGTCCTTAAGGTGCAGAACAGGGGTATATACAAGGGCGGGGCCACTGGTGCACTGACCCTAGTGGAAACCTGATTGGCCCCTGGAGTGCCCCTTCTGCTGTCATTCACCAATTCAAAACACATTATTGGCTAATGATAAAGTTGACCCCTCTGTATGAATTTTGCTCCCTCTTATGTGGCCCAAAAAGTCCCTAAATTGCCCATGATGGAGAACCTCCTTTGGTTTTACTTAAATGGCTCTCGTTTAGTGTTCTGGTTCTGGGGCACTTGAGGGCACACCTGTACATGATGGCTGATTGCGTTGGTCTCAGGGGGTCAGGGCAAAGTGACAGGCGATGGCAGCGAGCCAGTCAGACACAGGAAGGGCCACCCCCTGCCAGCGATAGGGTTTATTTTCTTTGAAAGACCTTGTGATCCTCACATCAGGCCCGACTCACTGGCTGGTGACTTGTCCACACTGACTGTCTCTTTGTGTGCCCAGCCCATCTCTCTCTCTCTCTCTCTCTCTCTCTCGCTCGTCCTCTCAACAGCAACACAAGGCTCTTAGGAAATATATCACATGATTTATCCAACTGCCGTTGCTAGCAGCTGGCACTGGGCAGGCAGACATGTGTGCTGGCCGCTGGTCCGACTGTTCGTCTGCTGCTTCCTCGCGCTCAGGGAGAGGAAAGACCGGCTTTTCGCGTAGGCAGGGATCGCCTGGGGGCTCTGGTGAGAACTTCTCGCGTCATCTAATCATAGGTGTCCATCTGAGGAATGGAGCTCATCCAACACAGCAATACTCACCCAACTCTCTGATGCCTCAGGGTGCTGCTGGTTTCTTACAGGGATCCTTCATGGTCACCGCTTTCCTCCTCTTTCGCTGCCTCACTCCCTATTTCTCTTAAGTTCTGCATTTATTTTCCAGCAAACGGCTTGTTCGTTTCATGACATTCATATAGGTACAGGGAGGGCTCCAGGCATTCAGAACTATCTGGAAAAATGTGTCTATTGTCCAGAGCCTATGGGGCACTACAGCTACATTCTTGCTGATGGATTACTATACAGCCAATGGGCAAGACTGTGTTTGTTAGACCGGTATTCAGTAGAGCGGGTTTATTAAGACTGAGCTTTATTGTTGGCCCATGAGAGCAATTTTTTGTGCATTCATGGGGCTGGTCAGGGGCTGTTGTTGATTAAGCCACGAGGACATGGGATTTTAAAGGGACACTGCTTCATATCCTCCATATTGGCAGCAGCTTGCTTCCTGATGCCTGAAATGCATGATGGGAAAATTGCCCATGTCTAGACAACTGTGTGCTGGTGAAAACAGAACTTGATTAATTTAATAGAAATAGGCAGCCTGTGATTTATTGTGTCTGTGTGCAATACTTTATTGAGCTTTTTCTTAGCTTGGGTCAGTGAAGTTCCCAGACATATAAAATCTGTTGAGCTATGTGTATAATAATTTTCCCTCTGCAGAATTAAACTCAGAAATTCTCCTCTTTCCTATAGGTGACATTTTGGCCGTGTCCTTGAAGAATCTTCCAGATCCTCCTCTTCTCTGGCTTTTAAATGGTAAGCACCAGTTCTCAAGTCCTTGCTCAAGGGCCCAATGGTAAAATCATTCTGCTCGCAGGTTCAAATCCCAGGGTCAGCAGAGTGATGTCACCATTGGGCCCTTGAGCGAGGCCCTTAGCTCCCATCTGCTCCAGGGACTTGGCTGAGTCTGCATTCACAGATGCGCATCGCTTTGGATAAAACTGTCTGCTAAATAAATAAATGTAATTGTAGATCATTATAGAAGCCAATGTGTTTCCATTGTGCTCCTGGTCCCGTGGAGTGTGAATGGACTTTGGATACACTTCTTTGTGTTGTTATGTAAATGAAAAATGTCTACTCCAGGCTTGTGCCGGTGATGTTCGGGGAGACATTATACGGACCTCCCTTATCCCTAACATCACTTATCATATCAGGATCCAGAGCTTTTGTTTCTTCTTTATAACTCTCTTGGACAGCAGATATGCAGACCTTCAATCCCACAACGCATCACTTACAGCTCAGGTCTTCACCGGCATCCTGCCGAAGATGCTTTGGCCGGCTCTACCTGCCACCTGTCTCTAGGACCCTTGTGAGATTGGCCTCCTTTGCTGAGAGGGCCAGTGGCGGCTGTACGTAGCACAGCTGATGGATATCTGTGGAGATTAAAGGTGCCTGGGTGGACGAAAGGGACCAGGGGAGCTGATGGGCAGCTCTGGCAGCACATGAAAGGCTTTGGGTCCTGTGGAGCTGAAGTCACGCTGTGCCGATCCCCGGCTCCAGCTTTAATGTCACAGCGGCCAGAGAAGCAAAGACATAAATGGAAGCAATGCTGAATATCAGCATGTACATTTATCACAGCTCAGTGTCCTGAGTGCATCTAGCTTTGCTAGTTAACCATGTGTGGCTGAAGAATTGCAACATTTTAACCCCATTGTTTTTAGGAGCAGTGGTGCTACCCCCACGCAAACCACGCTTTGGAACCCTCAAGGTGGCCGCAAACCACTCCCCTGCTGGCCACAAGCCGTCACTACACTAACAATTACATAAACATGTTCCTTATTTAGGAGACGCCGAAACAATATGTTCTGCTAACCAGCTAGCTTGCTTCCATCTTCTAACTCTACTAGCTAGCTATTTGTTTAGTCTTTGAATTAGTTGGGGGTGGGGGTAATATTTTGACTGTGGGCACAGAAAGAGCGAACCCCCCCCCCTTCCCCCCCGAAAGCTGACGAACTGCTTGGTCATACTCTGGAATGAGTAGCTCTGAAAGGGTGCACCGCCGGGTCCTGAAGGGCTGTCTGATCGATGACCTTCAAAGATCTGAGGAACTTCTCATCTCACACAGCATGACTGATGGTCTGGTCTGGCCATGCCGGTCCTCCGTCCCTCACACGGAACGTCTGAGGCACAGCCACCAACAACACGACTTTCTAATGAAATAGTCTGATTTCCAAACCTAATGTCTGTGATCAGTTTAGCTTCCAAAGTGATTGAGCTCTATATTTAGCTCTGGAAAACACTTCTGCTGGCCGAGCTGCCCACTCAGAACCTTGCATCTACGATGCTATGTTTACTGCCACATTATCACTTCTACCAAACCATTACTACATTACCGTATATTGATGTGCTGCTGGGTTTTTTTTGGGTGCACATTACAAACATTAAGATCTCAATCCACATGGTACAAGCCGTTTATGCCCCCCTTATGAAATACCGCGAGCTCGTTTTCACGAGCCGACGCGAAACAGCTTGGGAAATCAGACTGTGCATTTGGGATTTTTTTGTCTCTTGGACGATGTGAACAGGAAGCAGACAGATCTTTCGCTTTTCCTGGCCTGCGTTTTGGTTTAATATAATTTACTCATCTGTTATTTATGTCCTAGGGCTAAACAGTCATGTGATCCATATGGGCCATGTGGTATGTGGCTCAGGGTGCTGTGGTTGTGATCAGAAGGTCGCTAGTTCAAATCCCAAGTTGACAGGATGACTTCACTAAACAACGTCCACCTTCTCAAAACAAATGTACATGGCTTGGAATAAAGGTGCTTGCTACATTAAACATAATATTCTCCCTTTTCAAAGGAGGTAATATTCCATAAAACGTTGTGTGTACAGTTGATGCTTTCTGAGCTGTGCTGCAAGACAATGTGGTGAGGAGATCAATGATATCATCTCGGTGGACAGTGTGATCTGGTGTGGGTTGTTTTCTTAAGCAGTTTGTCATAATATGACCAGGAAGTGACATCACAGTCCCTCTTTCCAGAAGCTCTGTGACTGAGTCTCCTTGACCATGAGCGGAGGAGTCCACGTGAAGTCGGCTCCCAGGAACCAGGCTGGCTCCGGCATCCCCACACCGCGGAGTATGCTGCCCACCCCCAAGCCGGACCCCCAACACCTGGTTGGGGGTCTCCCACACCCCTCCAGGCAGATCCCTCTCCCAGCCAAGAACTCCCTGACTTCCTCCTCGTCTATATCCCCTGCTTCCCGTGACCTGCTCAGAGACACGACGCTGAGGAGCCGGGTCCTCCTGCAGAGGAGCAGCATTCCCCTGGCCCACGCCGCCTCCAAGGCTACCTGCGCCGCTCTGCGGTGCGACGGCACCCGCTCGGCCTACAGCAGCCCCAGCATCTCCCGGAAGGTGGCGCCGCGCTCCAAAGACACCATGGACGCGCCGCAGGGGGCGTGCTCCCTGGAGGCCCTCCGAGAGCCGAGACGCAACGGGAACAGGAACGGGCCCGCCGGCGCCCCCAGAGCCCAGCAGAGGAGGCTGGACAACACGGAGCACCCGGGGAGCAAAGTGCCAGCCGCGGAGGAGAAAGGAGGCCCGTCAGGCCAGGACAGAGAGCAGACCCTCTGCCCGTACAAACCCAACAATGCCAACCTTGTGTGTGGGCTCCCTGCGTACGGACTCGGTGCTCCTCCGAGGTCCAAACTGAGCCTGCAGCGAGGCAAGGCCGGCAGCCTGTCTGACGAGGAGATGGAGACCCCCGAAACTCTGTCCCCCGCCACGCCCGCGCCCGTGCCCATGCCCGCCAAAGACCAGCGTGACAAGCCACCCGAGGGGAAGTCGGTGCCAGGTGTCAACATGGCCGCCATCGCGCCCTTCAGGTACAGGTGAGTGTCTCTGCTCTTCAGTCCCATGGCTCCCTGAACACGCCGCCGAAAGCTATAAAGCCTGGTCATCATGTCCCAGCTAACAATTTTTTGTTCTAGAAATGTTTACCAAACATTACAATTAATGGAAACGTTATGTCTGAATCTTCCTGAAACATTTAAAGTGTTCAGTTATCTTGATGTTCCTGGAACAGGAATGTTTACTGAATGTTATGATTAAGGTATAGAAATGTTGTGTGCCAGTTCCTGAAACATTCAAAGTGTCCAGCATTGTTCCCAGAATATTTTCTTCATGGCTTTACAAAAAAAAATTTAAATTGACCTTCTACCCATTACCTATACCTGCTAAATACAAAAAAATCAAAACAAAAAAATTATATCAAGTTTAGATAAACCAATTCTTGTGATGACTCTTGTCTATATGCTGTGAAACAGAAATTAAATAAGGCCATGAAAATATTCATTAATATGGACATGGCTAATGTACTGTATTTCACAATCCCTACAGCTGTTGTGTCTGTAGTATATAGTCCCAGGGTAAGTTTTAGCAGTATCACTTAAGGGTGTTCTTCATACGGCTAAGACGCCAACATAAGCCCTTCATGACAGCTGACATAACGTACAAAATCACTTTTAAAGGTTCATTCCAACTCTTGACGACTCGTGTGTCAAGTTGACATATTACCTATGTCATAGGTCTATGCAGACATAAATACTTACATATGACCACAATGAACAGCAGCACCTCCTCATACCTCCAGAGGCTGCTGCTTTGTATCTAGTCTCTTGTTCTTTGTGTACAAATGTTGCGTTAATGTTCCTAGAACAAAATATTATTAGCTGGAGTTGCTTGTGTGTAAGGTTGTGCTTAGAGTTCGGTTTTATGAATGATTGTACTTGTTTTTAAGAACGTATTTCGAGTTTGATTTTAGAAATGTTTGTAATTTTATGTTTTAGGAACATGTTTCAAGTTTGGTTTTATAAATGTTTGTAATGTTATTCTATGAACGTTTTTCAAGGTTGGCTTTATAAACGTTCCCATGACATTCTTTTTGGGTTATTGTTGTAGATCAACGTTTTAGGTTATATTAGTTATATTATGTTGCAGCAGAACCTTCTGGGACCGTAACAGGAACGTTCTGGGAATGTTCCCTGTTAGCTGGGGTCACCATCAGGTCCATGAGCGAGGCCCTTAACCCCAGGTGCTGCAGGAATGCTGGGTGCTGCTTGATCTCCATTCTGATCCCAAAACCTTTTTTTAATTTTCTATCTATATCTGTCATGGATTTGCAAAATGGTCCAATTTCCTCACTGGGATGAAAAAAGTACCTCTATTCTATTCTATTCTATTCTATTCTATTCTATTCTATTCTATTCTATCACCATCTAGCATACATATAAAGTTATCGAACACCAAGGCACTAATAATGAAAATGTATTGCTCAGCTGGACAATGTATATCGCTGTCCTTGCTGCTGTTTAAATCCCCTCTCATTCTCTCCCTTGGTGTTACTTACTTGCCTAAATGGCTGTATAATACGCTGTGTGTGTGACATGCACCGAGATCCTGAACCTCCTGCTCCCCCATCATCCCCCGTCTCTCTGCCTCATCTGTATTCACCTCTTTATGTGTCCTTCAGTCCCCTGCTAGACTCATAGCTGCCCTTTCATATATTCAGCGCCTGCCATGCCCACCCCTGTCTGATTTCCGGTCGTTTCCACGCACCTTCCAAGCATCTTAGTAAACATCCAGGCTCTTGTCGGCCATTTCCACTAACAGACTGTAACCCCTAACAGCTTGCAAAACATAAAGAGAAATAAAGACTGGAATCACACAAAGCCTATGCTGATGTTAAAGTCAATGCAGTGAACACGGTGCATTACTCTCTAAATGTTACATATGATGGATTTAAACTTATTCCAAGTGTTCACTTATGGTGAAGGTGATTAACAGTTAAAGCTCGTAAGTGGTCAGAGAAGAAAACACACAAACATCTCTGTAGAGCTGCCTTGTACGAAAATAGGTAACTTCCAAGCTATTAATGAAAGCTACGTATTCAGTCCAGTTGCTCATTTATAATCAGGGTAAATAAAAAAGCAGTCAGTACGGAACCCTGGGGAACACTGAGGCATTAAGGAAGCCTGTCACCATCCATATTCACGCCCTTAATTCTAGCTGAGATGACATTTATAAGTAAATTACAGGCAGCAGCTATTATGTGACGATCAACGGGGCATTATTCACAGTATCAAAGGACTGAATTAATGACTGCCAAAGTTATCCAAACTAAAAACAGTACTCGCCATTTCTTGTGTGGCTTGTAACCTCATAAGCCCTTCCTTCCTCTCCGGTTCCTTCTTAATCAACCCTAATTTGTTCCTGTTTCCCTTCTTGTTGAGATGCGTCCTAGAATGCAGCAATGCTTGGGGTCACTGTGTGGCTCTGTGGGTTGGGCCTGTGTGTTTGTGAGCAGAAGGTTGCTAGTTCAAATCCCATGCTCAGCAGCATAGCCACATCTCCACTGAGCCCTTGATTAATCCCCTGAGAAAACACCCCAGGGGTGCTCAGACCCCAAGTTTCACTCCCCCCCCTGTTACGTGCCGTAAGTTTGGGTTACGTGCCGTAAGGGATATGTGCCGTAAGTTTCGGGTACGTGCCGTAAGTTTAGGAGGATGCCTGCAGGTCCTTCGGACGTCCTGCCCACTCGCCGATTGGTCACCCGCCCCCTCGACTCCGCCCTCAGGACCTGACCCCGCCTCCCTTGCCCTCAGAGCAGTTTCCGGTTCGCCGGCTGAAAAGAACGCCGCTTCGTCCCTTCGTGGCCCGCTACTTGCTTCTCGCCTGCTAGCTCGCTCTCTGTTCGCTTTTGCTTTGTTTGATTGATCGATCGTGTATGACTGTTTTGCCCTTGACTTTCGATTCTCGCCTCGCCCTTATTTGTACTTTCGCCTTGGTTTCTGATTGCTTGATTGGTTTTGGACTTTCGCCTGTGTTTCGACTTCGCCTCTCGGTTTCCCCTTTTGATACCTTTGCCTCGGCTTGGTGTTTCGTTTTTCACTAGGTGTGTAGGGAGTGTCTGCCTTTTTGGTTTATTCGTTAACGTGGGGATTATTGTTTGTTTGGTCAGGGAGATAGATTTAGGCATTGTTGTTTCGTTTCACCATATTCTTTGTGTTCACTTAGGTAGTTCAGCTTGGGTTACTCGGTAGATGTGCTTTTGTTTGTTTCTTTGGCCTTTGTCACTCCTGACGTTCGTTACACCTAGTGTTTGTACTGTGTTTGTGAAAAACTATAAAAAAACTATAAAAAAAAGACTCCCTCTGTGTCCCGTGTTCCCTTCTCCTAGCCCTAGTTGTCCTGTCCTCCCCAATCCCTCCTTCCCTTTCACTTTGTTGCGGTCCAACCCTAGACTGGATCGTAACACCCCTTATGTGTCTTATAATGAGAGCATGAGGGGAAATGCGAAAACACATTTCAATGTACTTGCACAAATGGAAAATAAAGCCGCATTTCAAAACATCGCGTTAGACTGCTACTAAGGATGCCAGTGGTTGTCTCCTCTAGACTGCAGGTGCAGCAGGACAATGATACCTCATCTCTGGAGGACCTGAGTGACTGCTCCTCTGACTCCATGGAGGTCTGCTGTGAGGACCTCTCCACGGGTAAGATGGCTGCTCGAGTCTGCAGCTGCTCTTCCACACTGTCCTCCTGGGTGTTAAGCACAAAGCTCGGGTGTGGAGCGGCCAGGAAATACCCAGAAAGCATTGCACTTGGAAGATGGAGCTTGGGGGCTCCCTAAGATGACGGTACTTAAAATACAATTTTGTATAAGATTTTCCTTAGATATGTTATAGAGGAAAGGAGAAAAGGCAAATGGAAGTTTTAGATCATTGCTTCTCACTTTTTTCTTAAATTAGGTATAGTTACAGTTTACCATGTTCATTGAACGCAGAATGTCTTAGAAGACAGTTTCTCAACCCAGTCTTCAGGGACCCGCAGGCGGTTCACATTTTTGCTCCCTCCCAGCCCCACGGGAGCAAAAACTTTGACCATCTTGGGGTCTCTCTGACCAACGTGACTCTTGGACTGTGTGTGGCTCTTGGACTGTCGGAGGATGACCGGCTTGCTCAGAGAAGGTCTGCAGTAATCATGACTGTCTTAATCTGTCCTAGGTGGGCATTAGTTTAAGACTTGTGTCAGCCTGCAATCTGATATGTGATCACACACCCTCCTGGTTTTCCAGCGACTTCCAGTGAAAGCACGCAGGGAATCTAACAAACCCAAACGTAGTGATTTCCCACGGCAGATATTCAGGTTCGACCGGAGCCCTTAATCTGTGGGGGATTATAGTGCATGCAGGTGTTTCAGGCACAGTTTCCACATCACCCCCATACTGAACTTTCAGTCATCCAGACAAATACATTCCTCCCAATCCGGATATGCAGGGTGAAATCCGTTAATAGTCTTATGTAAATAGTCAGGCCAAGGCGGAGAGGCAGCCCTGTTTCTCGCAGTTTCTGTCTGAATCATTTCCCCTTCAGACTGAGAGCCAGAAAGAGCGTGAGCTTTTTGCTCCACGCCGCCATCACAGGCCACTCGTTTTTCTCGTATCGCGATCTTCCACTTACATCTACAAAACTTAGAAGGGCACCGTCCAGGCTGACTGTGACTCTGCTTTGGTGAAGCGATTATGAAAGATGGATGGATGGATGGGTGGATGGGTGGATAGATGGATGTCGTATGAATGATGCAAAGCTACTGACGATTTGGCACTGGAGTTTGTCTGAAGGAATCAGCTCACGGCCATTCTGCTAAAAGCCATCAGGGGGAATTAGCAGGCAGAATAGACCCCAGATCATCCCATCCACGGTGGAGCATACGGAGCTGAACACAGGTGTAGTAATCACTGTAATTACTAGCCATGGGCAAAGGAGGGAGCAACAGGCTATTAGCTGAGGAGGAAGAGGATGTCGAGACGGATCCGCCCTGCAGGAACAGCAAAGAAGACAGACATGCATTAAAACCAGATATACAGCCGATAGCTGCCCTGCTCTCTTCACAGTGATCCAGTATTTCTGGGACCTCAGCTCATAAGGGAACGATCTTATCAAAAGCAAAGTTATCGAGCCATGTCGGACGGAAGGAGTTAGCAACGACTGAAATCCGCTCAACGTTAACTTCTTCCAAATGCCTGTGCATTCTTCCTCTGAAATAACTCATCCATCTTCTGACTTGGTCAGGGTCATGGGTGCTGTATAGCCAATCCCAGTCAGGGTCGTGGGTGATGTATAGCCAATCCCAGTCAGGGTCGTGGGTGATGTATAGCCAATCCCAGTCAGGGTCGTGGGTGCTGTATAGTCAGTCCCAGTCAGGGTCGTGGGTGCTGTATAGTCAGTCCCAGTCAGGGTCGTGGGTGCTGTATAGTCAGTCCCGGTCAGGGTCGTGGGTGCTGTGTAGCCAATCCCGGTCAGGGTCGTGGGTGCTGTGTAGCCAATCCCGGTCAGGGTCGTGGGAGCTATATAGCCAATCCCGGTCAGGGTCGTGGGTGCTGTATAGCCAATCCCGGTCAGGGTCATGGGTGCTGTATAGCCAATCCCGGTCAGGGTCATAGGTGCTGTATAGCCAATCCCAGGCAGCACTGGGCAGGAAGCTAGAAGGATACCGATTAACATATGTGACCTATTTACCAGGTCTTCCTTTGTTACAAGACACACTTAAAACACATTATTTTTAAATATTTAAACATAGATGACACTGAAGGTCCCTCTCTGACTGTCGATTTCACATTTACATTTATTTATTTAGCAGGTACTTCTGTCCAAAGTGACGCAGACGCGAACAGGCAGACAGAAACCCGGATCACAGACCGCACTCACACTCCACAAAAGCTCGGGAAAAAGGCAGCGCGTCGCACATGAACACTGAGACATGCTGACAGGTTTTCAAGTGCCTTTCATGCCCAATATCCTGGGGAAATCACACAGCTCCTGTTTATGAAAAAAATAGTGATTAAATCACTCCCCCGTTCATGCAATCCTGAGCACACCCCCAAAACCGCCACCCCCAAGTCAATCTTATCTCAAATGTCATCTTTATGTTCCACACAAATGCATGTTTTGCGCATGTGAACCAGGGAAACATTTTAAAATCCTAAATTCTTGTACTTGCATTGCGATTTATATTTTAAAAGACCAAATGGTGTATACCTAAAGTACCAATTTTCCTAGTTGTGTCCGTTTGAAATTGCACCATTATACTGTACAACGATAATTCCAAAGCAGTGTGCGCATATGTGTATGCAGTGGAGTGTGTGTCCCCCACCCGCCAAAAGCCAGTCCGGGCTGCCGGTCAGCATGCTGGCACGGGGCAGACGGCTGCTCCACTTCATCGGCGGGTCAGGTTTCGCCAGCTGTGGGGGTGGTCCGGCGCAGTCAGCAGCCACACGTCCACGGGGCACGTCATTCATCCACAGCTTTTGGGACGGGCTGCACTGCTCAGGGTTCACTAACCAACACAATCTGTGATACTCTTTGTGTTCATACTGCTAATAATATTTAGACAGTATTTTACAGTATTCTTACTGCTACGTTATCACAGTATCATTACTGGTAATATACACACATTTATATGTATACACACACATACACACACACACGTTGGCATACCTATCTAAATGGGGACCTTCCATTCATTTCTATGGGAAAACCCTCATCCCAATCACGATACCTGTAACCCCTACCCAGCCCTAACCTTAACCATAAGTAACCAAACAAAATTCAAGACTTTTGGCATTTTTACTTTTTTGATTGTATTCACAGATTTTTTTTTTTTATAAAATTGAGGTTATCCAAATGGGGGCCTAAAAAATGTCCCCAAAACGGGCAGGTTTTACCACACGTTGGGGACATTTTGATCCCCAAATGTGATCTATGCAAACTGACACACAGACACACACACACACACACACACATATGCGCACATTATCTTACATGTTTCTTAATGCTGATCTTTTTTGTCTGTCTATGGCTATTGCCAGTTTGATTTTGACTTCCCTTCTGTCTAATCATTTAACAAATTTCCCCACAAAGCTTCCCTGAGATATTCTATGTATACAACAACAAAATAATGGTACTTAAACATTTAAGAGCTTCTATATACACTATGTCTTTAGTTAATTCAGCTGTGATATATGTAATCAAAGGGGACTGAGAGTGTGAGATTAGAACATACTATTCTAAGCTGGTACAGTATTACAGTAAAGCAGACAGAAAGGCAAACAAGGTAATTAATTATTAACTTCCAATTAATCATTAAAAGAAAAACAGGGAAGCAACAGTGAGAACTTCCTTCTATTTTCATATTGTCTATTTCGAACAGCGACTACGTGATTGAGGTAGATTCTGTTTAATCACAATGCAGGTGATTTGTTTTGATTGATCCATCTGTTATCCACCCTCTATTCACAACACACATAAATCACAGACTCTGGGCGAAATGAAGACACCTGTCTGCTTAAATGCAGAATCTCTTTGGACTGCGGATGCAGCCAGAGTAGCGGGGAAAAAACAGAAGATGCGAACCCCAAACACACATTCGAACCTGCGACCCTGGAGGTGGGATGTAACAGTATTTCCCACTGAGCCTCCCTGTACTGGATAAGGCAGGGCCTACTCCTTACATTCAGTTTCTCCAATTTGTTGATACAGAAACAATAACACTGCCACTACATTCATATTGTAGAGGTTGCTACATGTGCTGTTCTGGAATGACTGGGTCAGGACTGGTTGGTGTTTGGACTCCCATGAGCCTTAGGGGCTGTTTGGTTTAGTTATGAATGTTCACGATTATCTTTGTTGAAGTTTCTTACAGTTATTAATGTGTTCCTTTTGTAAGTTATAATGGTGAATGTATATAGTTGTATTATAATGTTATATTAATTTGAGGTGAGTATGTCAAGACGTACTGTACCACCGTGGGCAGTGTGACATGGACCTCGATGAGGTGGCTCGCTCATAGTATGTAAAGTAGGTTAGTTTATTGGATGTCATAACACTCTGGGCTGAGCTAAAAGCAGTCATAGAGTTTATAATACTGATCCTGAACTCCCACGGTCTTCAAAAAACGATGTTTTGGTGATATTGAAATGGCATCAGTGTTGACACATTTTTTCCCATCCACACTCATTACTACAATAGAGACATACAGCCATGGGAAAAATTAAGAGACCGCTCTATATTATTAAGTAAATCCGCATTTTTTAAATCCTGTTTTAATTGTGGTTCTGCTGGCAGAGGCTACGCTGAGCAGCAGGTTGCTTTCAGGTTCAAACTTTCTAAGACAGCAGCACATAAGAATACAGTGAAGTAGGAGACACTGGGAACGACCAGAAACCAGCCAGGTAAAGGGAGGAAGCGACTTTCTAAAGGCGCGATATGACAGTTTCTCATGAATCGTAGAATGACCTCAAGTGACCTTCAAATGGAACGGGAAACATTAAGTGCAGGTGTGAAGTGCCCTGCTAGGACAGTTCATATCAGGCTCCTAGAAGCAGAACTGAAGCCCCATAAAGCAAGGAAGAAGCCCTTCATTAATGAGGATCAGGGAAGAACCAGGCTGTAGCTTCCGAAAGAAAATATATTATTCACATACACACACCCATATG